TTTTCTTTGACTACTTAGTAATGAGACGATTTCCATGGATGTACCAGTAGAATTTATATCTGGTATAGATATAATGGGAGGCTGATCGATGCACGAGTCCGGTCATGGTATGGCTGTCTATAGTTAAACCATATTATGAATGCCGATGATCTGGTGATTACTGCCCACTCTAAGGAGTTGGAGACACTCCATATAAACACGGAACATGCTACTAAAATATGGGCCGTTACCATCAGCCCCACAAAATCAAATCACCTCCCTGGGTATTTTACATCATCAAAATGCTCCCCTCCCTCAATTCCCCATGTATTTTGAGGCAGTTGTGGAGAGAGTGGAGATATTTCCGTACTTGGGCAGTGTGCTCATGACCAACTCTGTTTTGGGAGCCGAGGTCTCACTTCGATTCATTCGAGCGGCATTATATTTTCATCAGCTGCGTAACATTGTATGGAAGCTACCTGATCTGTTACTCCATACAAACCTTCATGTCTTCTGGACCACAGTTATGCCTTCCCTTATTTCTCTCTATAGGATTATCTGCAATGGTTTGAAACATTTGGTCTAGCCTGCCTACGATCTATCCAGGGTTTAACCAGACTGGACTTTGTGAGGAGGCCAAAATTTTCTGAAATATCTGGACAAAGGCTCATCAGTGGGCTCTTCCGGCAAGTCAGGCTCCATTGGCTGGGTCATGAAGTCTATATGCACTGTCACCGCATCCCCAAGCAGCTTCAATTTGGGCGGATAGATCATGCTAAACAGGCGCGGCATGGGCTACAGAAGAGATGGACTGATGTGGTACAGAAGGATGTGGAGCTGATTGAACTTGCTGATGACTGGTAGCAGCAGTGTCGCGATAGGCCTATGTGGAGGAGGTTCATGAAAGACTCTACTGGGGAGGTGGAGGCAGTTGCCCTCCAGCAATAGCGTAGGGCAGCGGAGCGACACTCATAACAATGAGCAGAGCGCTATACGACTGAAACACTGAAATTTGGCACAGTGGGGAGCACGGCGTTTGCATCTGCCCGTCATCACCTTAAGTCAACCCATGGTACCTGTGTCTATTCATGACTTCCTGCCAGCCATCCTTCGACACTTCAAGTGACCTCAAAATGCACCAAGCACCGCACAAAAGCGCTGTGGTGATGTCACTGCCACTTAGGGGCAAACGGCGATTATTGTCTTCTTGTTGTGCGTGTGTGCACGGACGCATATACCCCTGTGAGTGTGTGTGTGGGGAGAGATAGTGCAATGGTGAACACTGTCTACCATCCCACCGATCCCAGTTCGATTCCCACTCACGACCAACACCTTTAACGATTATATTAATGGTTGCTGGGCTTTCCGTCGATCGACTCAGCCTCAAATAAGTGCCTGGTGTGGTGTGTAAATATCACCACTGGCGAGACAAAGGCAGCCGGGCGTGGTGCTGTCCACGCACCCCCTCTTGCGACATTCCAGCCTTCATAGGCGCTGCTGGCTAACAGCACTTGCCCCAACATTCTGGTTAGGCTATTCGGGGGATGACTGTCGCTGTTGTGTGTGTGTGCTTGCGGGCGTTCACCCCCAACCCTCCCGTGTGCAGTTATGGGGACTCATTATGCCCCCTCCTGACAAACGGTCCCACATCCAGACTCAAGGTAAGTGACATTAAAAACATATTTTTTGTCCTATTTACGTAACTTTATTTTTTGTTTACATTACAGTATTTATTACAGTATTATTTGCAAATGTATAATATTCCGTGTTATGACTTTAACAATGCTTCAAAATTTTTGTTAAACCGTAATACATTTTACAACACTTCCAGTATGTGAATTTAAATACAGTACACTATTTTATTCAGACTTATGAACTGTTCGACTCACTAACGATTCTCTGTAATGGAATCCAAAAGTTGTACTATTCATTAACAACATCTCCCATTGGTATGGTTGACTACATGTGATGCAAAATAAGTTAAACATAGATAAATATATATTGTACAACACTTTCCCCAACAGTGTGTTGAGGCTACATGGGGGACCTTTGTGTTTGTGCTTGTGATTGTATTGTGGAGGCCTTCTTAGGTGCTGCTCCTTGCTAATAGCACTTGCCCCAATAGTCTCTTGAATCTATACAGGGAACGTTTGTCTTTGTGAATAATGTTTTAATTGGGGCGGTGTCATTTTCTAAATTGCCCCAATGTTTTTAAATGGTCGACTTGCGTTTCAGCCATTTTCGGACCCAATTAATACATCTCTTCATTTCTTGGGCTTGGTGGCGGTGGTGGCAGCTGTGGCAGCGGCGGTGGCAGTGGCGTTGGTGGTGGTGGCATCTTTGTAAATTTGAGAAATGGCGCATTTCAGCTCTTTCAGCTGTCTACTGAGATGCCGGCACTCTTTGCGCATCTGCACTTCGCCGTGCCACTTTTCCTCATGACGCGCCAGCTTCCCGCGCAGCCTAAACTGCTTCTGCCCTCTCTGTGGATTCAGGAAGTTCAACTCCCTCAGGTGGATGCGCAGCGACCTACGGAGACCTTCCTTTTTACAGCGCAGCGACATTTGCCGCTGTGCTGCATTGCAGTCTCGGAGAAAATCCGCACGGAGAGACGCACGCTCGCAGCCAGGCACTCTCGTGGACTCCAGCTCTAACTGGCGCTCTTTAAGCTGTTGAACCAGGCCCCTGTTCTCTCTCTGGAGAGTCTCTCGGTTCTCCATCAACTCCTCCTGCTGCTGCTGTAGCTTCAGATGGGGCGTCTTGTTCCTCTGACAGAGCTCCACATTCTGCTGGCCCATCCTCTCCGTTTGCAGCGTCGTGGTCTCGCGGTGAAAGTCTGAGATGGAAAGTGTAAAACGAAGATAAATGAAGATCTCCATCCCAAGCAGGGCCAAGAGCAGAACGCCAACGATCAGCAGCGCCATGCTCAGCTCGTGTCGACGGCACGCGGGACAGAAGCAAGTGTGAGGCACGTCACGAAGGGGCGTTATTTATATAACTTCTTTACCGGATGTGACGTACGCTATGACGTAACAGCCATCCCTGCCCACTTATTGTCAATCATTGCCAACCACGTGACTCCACGGCCCCGCCCCTAACCGCGCAGCTCCTCCCCCATACTCCTCTTCCGCCTTCCCCACGTGACACGAAGCGAGCCAATCACGCGAGAGGCGGCGCGCGGTCGGCCCCGCGACCGCTTCCCGCCATTCTTGCAATGGGCGGTGGGGGGGCGAGATCACTCCACGTCGCGAGCGGGAGGAGGGACTAGGGGGAGGGGCCAGCAGGGACGAGGGGGAGGGGCCAGGTGGAACGAGGGGGAGGGGCCAGGAGGGACGAGGGGGAGGGGCCAGGAGGAACGAGGGGGAGGGGCCAGGAGAGACGAGGGGGAGGGGCCAGGAGGTACGAGGGGGAGGGGCCAGGAGCGGGAGAGGTGGTGGTGGTGTTTGTGGTTGTAGGCACGGGAGAGGTGGTGGTGGTGTTTGTGGTTGTAGGCACGGGAGAGGTGGTGGTGGTGTTTGTGGTTGTAGGCACGGGAGAGGTGGTGGTGGTGGTGTTTGTGGTTGTAGGCACGGGAGAGGTGGTGGTGGTGTTTGTGTTTGTAGGCACGGGAGAGGTGGTGGTGGTGTTTGTGTTTGTAGGCACGGGAGAGGTGGTGGTGGTGTTCGTGGTTGTAGGCACGGGAGAGGTGGTCACGGACAGGCGGTGAGTGCCGGTTGATGGAGGGGGGGGGTGAGGGAGTGGATTGCAGGGTGAGTGAGTTAATGAGGAGAATTAATAGGTGAGGAGGGTGAGTGAGTTGAAGGGTGAGGTGAGTGAGTGGGTGAGTGGTGAGTTCACGACAGGGAGATTGGGGCTGAGTGAGTGAACGCAGCGCACGGTAAAGATCCCCTGAGAGCATTCGCAAGAGTTGGACATTGAGTGCCGCTGTCAGGGTCCACACGCAAATTACTCACTTGGCATGATATACAAATTAACCATTGTAAACGATAACTTTAAAAAAGTCCGCTATTTGTCAGAGCTAATGCGATGTGCGTTCAGCATATTTGTAGCACGTTATAACCAACGTCAACATCGTCATTTAGAGTAACCATTAGTCCATACGTGTCACTTGCTAATAGTCCCCGGGTCAATCACAACTTTGCCGTGCGTGCAGGCTTTGTCTCTGGCTGCTCGCTAGGGCTGCGATGCCTTTCCATGCCACAAGATGACGTTCATTGCTCCTTCCACACCGCGACAATATTTACTGCAGTGTTCTATAACGCGGTAGTTGCGTTGCTGAATAACACCGCGTTGTGTAAACTCCCTCGTTACAATGACTAATACAGGGTAAAGCACAGTCCGTGATAACAGCGTGAGATGCGTGTGTCGGCTGAACAAAGACTGAGGCGCGTGGGGAGCATCAGGAAGCATCCAGCAGCATCCCAATGCCTCGTGTGACGCTGTGCCCAGGCAGCCGTACAACCGCACATTCCTACTCGCGCGACGTGGTTCTGTTGACTCAATCGCGTTATATCCACTTAGCATCCGCGTTATAAAACGTGTTCCCTATTACATTCATCGTGCTATATCCAAATGGCGTTATGAAAACACGCGTTAAGGCAGAACGAACTCTATAAACTATTTTTATTTTACCAGGTGAGACCCACTGAGCTATGTGGCTGTTTTCCAGAAGCGACCTGTCCTCAAATGATAGATCAGCTAAATGGCTAATCACGTTAGAAATGTGTAGCACCAGCCACAAATACTCTAGACATGGGATCCCCTTTGACAGGGTCAGTGTCTACTTAGATTCACTCACTCCGCCTATTGTCATGCGGCGTGTGCAGCTGCGTCGTGACACTTGGTAGAGTGCTGTCTTTGAGGCAGAGAGCTTTACAACCGTGTGCAGTGGTTAATTTGCTTAACAGCTTTACACCGAACTCCTTGCTTGTGGTAAAACATGTTTGCGACTTTGCTGATTGAGAACTATGCAGATTTAGATTTATAGTTACATGTACTTGGTGTGAGATGAACTTCCAAACAATTTCCTTTGCTCAACATCTTGGAATTAATGTCTTTTTAAATGGTCAGCTTAAGTGATTCCGTGATGTTTATGTAACTTGACCATTAAGATAATCTATGGAGCACAATTATTTCAATATTATTTGTCATAAGTAAACTTTAAAATGAACCCATATGTGATATTATATTGCCTGATTATTTTATTTTTTAATGTAGTCTACATGCTCTTCTGGGGATATTACCCCACATTTACCATTCATTGATGTTCCCTTTGACATTGGTAATTGGCATTGTCACACCATAGTAATTCATGGGCAATTATGTAATTCTCTCTGTGTCTATCTCTCTCTGCATCTGTCTGTGTGGGTGTCTCTCTCTGCCGGTGTGTTTTTCTCTATATGCGTCTCTCGTGTGTCTCTTTGTGTGTGCCTCTCTCTGTGTGTGGATGTCTCTCGGTGTCTGTGTCTCTCTTTCCTTTTCCACGATGTGGTGTTGTATTTACATGCAAATTCTACCTCTAGCCCCGCCCACTTACCCTTGGGCTGAGCTTATCTCAAGCCAATATAACTTCGTGTTTCAGCAGCTTTCTCGCTATATTTTTTCACCTGATGATGGTTGCTTGTGTTGCGATCGAAACGTCGTGATCTATTATTTTTTCTACCTACGTGACTTTACAGAAAGAACCAAAGAGTATTGTGATTGTAATTTTGATTGTGATCGTTGTGGTGGAGGTGGTGATATTGATGGTGGTGTTAACGATAGCGGTGATTTTGGTGGTTGTAATGGTGGTATTGATGGTGGTAATGGTGGTTGACTATTACCCCTCTCGTGTCCTTACTTCCACCACCAGGTTTAAGAATCTGCTGGTGTCTGTGCTGGAGGTGGACGTCGGATATCTGTGCGGTCTGGAGCGGTGGACAATAGACTTCTGCAGCTCAACCAGGTGGACGCACTGGGCAGGGAGCAAGATGGTGGTGGCCTTAGAGACCCACTTACTCCCACAGAGAGCCATAGACTCACTCACAGAGTACACTCACACAGAGAGCCAAAGTCTCACTGACACAGAGCCATAGGCTCACTCACATGGAGACACATAGACTCACTCACACAGAGAACCATTGATTAACTCATTGTTTTTTTCAGTAAAGTCACGTATGTAGAAATACCATAAAATTATATTAAAATAAATCAAGCACGACGTTTCGACCGCAACACAAGCGATCTTCATCAGGTGTAAAAACAAATAGCACATAGGGTGACATCAGCGCAACACATAGAGAGCGTTAAACTGCACGGAGGTAAATACAACAAGAAGATGAGAGACGAGAATTCAAAAAACCTAAGAAAAATTTACGTGATGCAAAACCAGTCGGCCAACGACACAGTTAGACACTTGCCTGGCAGACCACGAATTTCAGAAGAGTGCTAAATTTCGTGTTCATCCTCTGGGTTGAACATACCAGCATAGACAGAGTGAACAAATACGAGGTATAAGATAGCAGAAATACATATACAGGGACACAAGAGGTAAGAAGAGGAAAGACGGACAGAGAAGCAAGAAAAAAGGGGCCGGAGGGATGAACAGAGGCTTAAAATAAGTAGTAGAGGTGGGGGGAGGGGGAGGGGCCGAAGAAAGCAAGGGGCACGGCAGCAGCAGAAGAGGGAGGGGCAGGAAAATGTAAGGGGGCGCAATTAGTTTAGTACAGAATTGTAAAGGTAACTGGTCCGTATAAGTGTGTTAATAAAGAATTAAAGCTTTCGTGACTGCATAGATTACTCATTGTTTTTTTCAGTAAAGTCACGTATGTAGAAATACCATAAAATTATATTAAAATAAATCAATCACGACGTTTCTACCGCAACACAAGCGATCTTGTGTTGCAGGATCTTTACGTAGGTAAAACAAATTTAAAGAAAATAAACAATTAAAACACGACGTTTCAGAGGCAACGCAAGCTTCTGTCTTCAGTTGGGACCAGTCACAGCCAAAATCGCTGCACCAAGTGGCGAGGCTCTGGGAACCTAGCGCTTAAATACAGGTTAAGGTAGGGGGGGGGGGGTGTGGGAGGGGCCATGTAGGGGGACTTTAGTGGGGTGCGGAGCTCAGTTAATCCGTCTTTTGTTGTGTAGAGGGTGCGGGGGATGGGTCACTGTGTGTGTGCAATATAAACAGAAAGAGGCTCTGCCAGGCTGTGCTGTAAGGGGAGGCAGTAGATAAAATGAAAATCGAAAAGTTTGGAAATAATATGTTTAGTATACCACTGCTTGAAATTGCTTTTAGTAATTAGTTAGCGTTTGGTATGATTTAAAACGTTTCTTCAGTGGTTGCTTAATTTGAAACCATCCTCTCAGTTGAAGTAATGCCTGTGTTTGTATTTGTTGTGTAGAGGGTGCGGGGGATGGGTGACTGTGTGTGTGCAGGACTGAGTTAATCCGTCTTTTGTTGTGTGGAGGGTGTGGGAGATGGGTCACTGTGTGTGTGCACTATAAACGGAAAGAGTATCGGCCAGGATGTGCTGTAAGGGAGCAGTAGAAAAAAGGAAAATAGAAAAGTTCGGAAAGAATATGTTTGGTATACCACTGCTTGAAATTGCTGTTAGAAATTAGTTAGCGTTTGGTATGATTCAAAACGTCTTTCCAGTGGTTGTTTAATTTTAAACCATCCTCTCGGTTGAAATTATTCCTGTGTTTGTATATCTGAATGGCTTCGTGGACAAATCTTTGGTGATAACCTGTAGGTTTACAAAGAACCTTGGTATCGGAAAAGACAATCTCATGATCACCCATAGCGTTGTAACAGTGATCAGCCACAGCAGATGAATTCGTTCTGCCGTGTTTCAAATCTGATTTATGCTCACGAATTCGGTCAGAGATATGTCGTTTCGTCAACAATAACAATCACCACAGGTACAGCTAAATTTGTAAACTCCGGGGTACTGTAAGTCAGGGTTGACATCCTCTCATCAAAACGTTACACCATAGGGCTCATTGCATTTCAGACCAACACCACTTGACCAGTGAATTAAAATTGGTACGGCTGGCCCTTAGGAGGAACGGATACTCTGACCGTACCATCCGCCAAGCTGTTTCTCCTACCATACAGAAACAACCACCTGATACTCCGATCAAAACCATCACACTACCTTACATAGCAGGCGTTACTAAAAAGATTTCCAAAATTCTAAACAAACATAAGATCCAAGTCCGGTTCAATACAGTACACAAAATACGTGATCTGATCCCATCCGTAAAGGATGTCATCCCTGACTTACAGTACCCCGGAGTTTACAAATTGAGCTGTACCTGTGGTGATTGTTATATCGGGGAGACGAAACGACATATCTCTGACCGAATTCGCGAGCATAAATCAGATTTGAAACACGGCAGAACGAATTCATCTGCTGTGGCTGATCACTGTTACAACGCTATGGGTGATCATGAGATTGTCTTTTCCGATACCAAGGTTCTTTGTAAACCTACAGGTTATCACCAAAGATGTGTCCACAAAGCCATTCAGATATACAAACACAGGCATAATTTCAACCAAGAGGACGGTTTAAAATTAAGCAACCACTGGAAAGACGTTTTGAATCATACCAAACACTAACTAATTTCTAACAGCAATTTCAAGCAGTGGTATACCAAACATTCTTTCCAAACTTTTCTATTTTCCTTTTTTCTACTGCTCCCTTACAGCACATCCTGGCCGATACTCTTTCCGTTTATATTGCACACACACAGTGACCCATCTCCCGCACCCTCCACACAACAAAAGACGGATTAACTCATCCCCGCACACACACAGCGACCCATCCCCCGCACCCTCTACACAACAAATACAAACACAGGCATTACTTCAACCGAGAGGATGGTTTCAAATTAAGCAACCACTGAAGAGACGTTTTAAATCATACCAAACGCTAACTTATTTCTAACAGCAATTTTAAGCAGTGGTATACTAACCATTATTTCCGAACTTTTCGATTTTCCTTTTTTCTACTGCCTCCCCTTACAGTACAGCCTGGCAGAGCCTCTTTCCGTTTATATTGCACACACACAGTGACCCATCCCCCGCACCCTCTACACAACAAAAGACGAATTAACTCAGCTCCGCACCCCACTAAAGTCCCCCTACATGGCCCCTCCCACACCCCCCCCCCCCACCTTAACCTGTATTTAAGCGCTAGGTTCCCAGAGCCTCGCCACTTGGTGCAGCGATTTTGGCTGTGACTGATCCCACCTGAAGACGGAAGCTTGCGTTGCCTCCGAAACGTCGTGTTTTAATTGTTTATTTTATTTTAATTTGTTTTACCTACGTGACTTTACCGAATAAAACCAAAGAGTATATACTCACTTCTCTACGTGACCGGTAGTGCAAGATCTGACCATGTCTGTCCAGTGCTTGCCAGGTCACATTGGCTTCCTGTTGCCGAACGAATCGATGATAAGGTCGCACTCATTACACACAAAGTGCTTGCCACAAATGAACCACAATACCTTGCTGATCTCGTTAAGGAGCATACACTATCACGCGAACCCCAGTCACCATCGCAGCAGCTATTGACTCACCATAGAACAAAGACGGTCACTGCATTGCGCGCTTTTAAATGCTCTTCTGCGGCCGTCGGGAATGCTCTTCCGTCCGATATCATGAAGCCACTGGGAGCTATGCACTTTTAAATCTAGATTGAACTCTAATTTCTTTAGAACTGCTTTTTGTGTTTAGTTTGTTCTTACCCTGCACCTCCAATTACCGTACGGTGCGAAAAAAGTTCAATATATACATAAATACTCACGAACTGAAATTTCACCAATATCCTGTACAAAGCTATCTTTGTCTTTTGTGAATGTTTGGGTGTGTGTAAATGAGTGGTGCGAGTTTGCACTTACACCACTGAGTGATGCTTTTCGCGTTGTTAATCATAACCCCTGCCGGACAGATTTCCACGAGAGCCACTAATAGAAGCTCTCGCAGTAACGCTCACTAAACGCCAGGGTTATATTGTGAAAAACGGAGATTTTAATAGCAATGCATGCGATGTAACTTGGGGTAAAAATGTAACCGTAACACGGGGAGTGGTTTTTCACTGGATTCGTGAGTTGTGCATGCAGGGGGGGGGGGGGGGGGTTATAACCATGCACATCAAGGACGCATACACACCTACACGTTTAACAGTACACACACTCACAAAGTGGGGAGTGAGACTACTTCATAGCCAAAACCAAATCAGCATTTTGTCTTCAATCGCTGTTGCCGAGTGTAGGCACAAAGGCCAATAATGCAAAGCGGCCAGCAACAAACAGCACGATTTAATAAAGAATTAAAGTTTTCGTGACTGCATAAATTACTCATTGGTTTTTAATTTATTTTAATATTTGATTTATTTTAATATAATTTTATGGTATTTCTACATACGTGACTTTACCGAAAAAAAACAATGAGTAAATTATGCAGTCACGAAAACTTTAATTCTTTATTAACACACTTCTACGGGGAAGTTACCTTTACAATTCTGTCCTAAGCGTAGTGCACCCCTTGCTTGCTCTTACCCCTCCCCCCCCCCGCCTCTGCTGCGTTGCAGCCCTTGCTTTCTCCTGCTCCTCCCCCCGAATCTGCTGCCGTGCCCTCTCTCTCCGGCCCCTCCCCCCACCTTTACTTCTTATTTAAGGCTTCTGTTCATCCTTCTGGCCCTTTTTCTTTTTCCTTGCTTCTCTGTTGTCTTTCCTCTCCTTGCCTCTTGGTGTCTCTGTATATGTATTTCTGCTGACATGTACATCATATTTGTTCACTCTGTCTATGCTGGTATGTTCAATCCAGAGGTTGAACACGAAATCTAACACTCTTCTGAAATTCGTGGTCCACCAGGTAAGTGTCTGTGTTGTTGACCTGACTGGTTGTGCATCACATATTTTTTCTTAGGTTTGTTGAATTCTCGTCTCTCA